TTTTTTTTTATTGTTAGTTTCAGGTGTACAGAACAATGCAATGGTTATCCTTTTCACCCTTCACACAGAAACAACCCCCCTCCCTCATTGACTGCCCTCCCACACCTGATATCATACTTATCTATTACAATTCTATTAACTCCATTCCCGCACTCTGTTCCATGTCCCGTGACTATATGTATATATAATTATAGTTGACATACAATATTATTCAACATCAGCTTCAGAAATATAGTGTGGTATTCAGGCCTCTATACCGACCATGAAGTGGTCTCCCTAACAAGACATGAGTCCATCTGGCCTCCTAAAAAAATATTTACAACATTATTGATTATATTCCCCAGACTGTCTTTTCTATCACTGATGCCATATTGTAGTTACCAATTTGTATTGTCTTGTCCCTTCCCCTTCTCCTTCATCCCACCCCCTCCCAACTAGCAACCTTCAGTTTTTCCTCTGTGTCTCTGAGACTATTTCTGTTACCATTTCTCATTTATTCAGTTTTTTAGATTCCATGTATAAGTGAGATCATATGGTATTTGTCTTTCTCTGCCTCTTGTTGCTCCTTATCTTTTCTACTCCACTGTCATCCCTGGTCTGGGAGAAGGGAGCAGAATGTGAAGAGTATATGAGAAACAGCCTCTTACTCCAATTCTTGGCCCTTCAGAATATCTTCTTGGGAGAGGACATCCGCAAGCAGCTGCCCAATGAAGCAGCCTTATTTGACCAGATCAACAGCAACTGGAAAGCCATCATGGACCGTATAAGCAAGGACAGCAATGCTCTCCGAAGTACCCACTATCCAGGTCTGAGTTCCCTGGCCTCTTGCCCAGACATAGCCTCAGTCAGTGTTGTGTATATGTGAAGTCATGGCCACATACTTCATTTATTGAAAGATTGATTGCTGTACCTGGCTGTCATATCATTACCATTGCCTCTTTTAAGCATTAAATAATAGTTCAGTAAATTAAATTCAACAAATATTTGAGTGGAATACAATGTTGTGGTTAAGAGAATGGGATATGGAATCAGACAGACTTGAGTTCAAAATCTGACTTATGCCTTACTAATTGTATGCTCTTGGGCAGCTTGCTTCCTCCATATTTCAGTTGCCTTACCTGGAGTAGGGGGGTTAATGGTAGCTATTTCTCAGGGTTTACAAGGATCATAAAGGAGTATGTAACACTCAGTACAGGGTCTAGCAGAAAGTTAGTGCTCAATTAATAGCACTGTGCCTCAGGAAGCCCTGGTTAAAGAATCACTCTTCTTCTCTAGTCTATCCATTTAATGAGATCTAATACAGCTAAATGAGATAATGCAAATAAAGCACTTAACACATTAAATGGCACAGAGTAAGTCCTTGGTTACTTTTAGCTATTGTTTTTAGTTATTGTTATTATGTTGACTTTAATTAGTTTATCAGATTAACTAGTCTTTATTGTAGACATTTATGTAGGGGGTGGGGCAGAGATGCGGTATGATCAATAAACACAATGAATGTTTAAATAAAAAAATTTATTACAGTAAAAGACACATTGCCATTCTCCCCCTCAAAATATTCCCCCATACTTTGAACACACTTATCTCATCATTCTTGCCACTTTTTGAAGCAGTTTTGGAAGTCCTCTTTCATGAGTGTCTTTAGTTGTATTGTTGCGTGGCTGCCTCAGTGCCTTGAATCAATTCAAAACATTTACCTTTCATGGTCATTTTGACTTTGGGAAAGAGCCAGAAGTCGCACAGTGCCAGATCTGGTGAATAAGATGGATGAGGACACACCGTAATGTTTTTGTTTGGCAGAAATTGCTGTATACTAGAAGTGATGTGTGACACGGAGCCTTTCAGTTATTATCAAAACAAATGGTGAATGTTGCTGCCGAGTGCCAACCGATGGAAAGTGCAGGAATCTTTAATACAGGAAGCGTTGCATTGAACCTTAGTAACAGTGTGTGACAAGTTTCAACTTGTTTGGTGCAGTCAGTCCAGTCGGGTGTGAGCTATAGTTGAGAGAAGGTGTGTTTTAAACTGTGCTGTAAATCATCCTCCATCATGACAACGCTCTGTGTCACACATCGCTTTTGGTACAGCAATTTCTGTCAAATAAAAACATTATGGTGTATCCTTATCCACCTTATTCACAGGATCTGGCACTGTGCGACTTCTGACTCTTCCCCAATGTAAAAATGACCATGAAAAGTAAATGTTTTGAAGCCAAAATGATTCAGGACATCAAGGCAGCCACAACAACACAACTAAAGATACTCACAAAAGAGAACTTCCAGACTGCTTCAGAAAGTGGCAAGAACAATCGGATAAGTGTGTTTGAAGTGAGAGGGGAGTATTTTGAGGGGTATTAATGGCAATGTGTTTATTACTGTAATAAATTTTTTTTCCATTTAAACATTCACTGTATTGTTTGATCACACCTGTGTATACATGGTGAGGCCTAGTTGATTGCCATAGATTGGGCTTAAGAATCAGGAAGTCAGGTTGAGTACCTAGAATGGGTATCCTGAGGAGAGAGTTCTGGAAGGGGGTATGGAGGATTTCTTTATTTTGCTTAAGGTCAATCCAACAATTCTTCCTTTGCCCAAGAATCTTGAGTGCACCCATCAAAAAAACACTTAATTTGGGCCGGCCAAGTGGCTCAGTTGGTTAAGAGCTCACTCAAGAGTTTGAGCTCTGAGCAACAGGTCCCTGGTTTGATTCACAGCCCGAGCTGAGCGGCTGCTGAGCTGCTAACAGGTGGCAGGATGGCTCAGCTAAAAAAACCCAAAAACACTTAATTTTAATTATTCTGATAAAATGTAAGTATTAGGATATGCAAAGTTGAGTGACAACATGCATTTAAATTGTTTTTTCAATTACAGTTGACATTTAATATTATATTTGTTTTAGGTATACGGCATAGTGGTTACCGTATTTGCCGGCGTATAAGACGATTTTTTGGCCCTGAAAAATATGCCTCCAAGTGGGGGGTTGTCTTATACGCCAGGTACACTTCAGNCTGATGTATTTTCTGTACATGTGGATTTGCCTATTCTAAACATTTCATATAAATGGAGTCATACAATTTGGGACTTTTAAAATCTGGCTTCTTTCACTTAGCATAATGTTTTCAAGGTTCATCCACATTGTAGCATGTGTCAGTACTTCATTCCTTTTTATGCCAGAATAATATTCTATTGTATGAATTTACCGTGTTTTGTTTATCCATTAACAACCTGATGGGCATTTGGACTGTTTCTACCTTCTAGCTATTGTGAGTAGTGTTGCTATGAACATGTGTGTACTTACATTCATCTGAGTCTCTGTTCCCAGTTCTTGTGAGTATGTAGGTAGGAGTGGAATTGCTGGGTCATATGGTAACTCTATGTTTAACTTTTTGAGGAATTGCCAAGCTATTTTCCACAGCAGCTATTTTCCATTTTACACTCCTGTTAGCAATGTAGGAGGGTTCCTATTTCTTCACATCCTTGCCAACACTTATTTCCTTTTTTTTTTTTTTTTGCTTCTAGCCATCCTGGTGGGTGTGAAGTGGTATCTAATTGTGGTTTTGATTTGCATTTCCCTAATGACTAATGTTGAGGATACTTTCATGTGCTTGCTACTTGAGGAGCTCATAAGACAAGAGAGTGGAGAAAAAAATCTGAACTGAGGAGGCATTTCTATTGCCTGGAAGGAAAAGCTTTTCAGAATGAGAGGCGCAAAGAACCTGAGTGTTTGTCAGGGAGGAAGGCAAGAGTCATGTCACTTAACACATCTTTCTGCTCTCGGTCATGAAGGAACTGGACGCACTCCAGCAAGTCTGGGAGATCACACGGGACTGGGAGGAGAACTGGAACCAATGGAAGACTGGTCGGTTCCTGACCCTGCAGACAGAAGCCATGGAGACCATGGCCCATGGGCTGTTTCGTCGCCTCACAAGACTTGCCAAAGAGTATAAGGTGTGTGGAGAAAGGAGGGGGAGGCGGAAGATGAGTTGATTGAGTTGATTGAGGAAGGGGAACTGTGTGGGAAAGATCGTCAGCTCTTCTGATGCTTCCCACTTTTGCTCAGGACCGAAACTGGGAAATAATTGAAACCACTCGCTCAAAAATAGAGCAGTTCAAGAGAACCATGCCTCTCATCTCAGACCTGCGAAACCCCGCCCTTAGAGAGAGGTAAGGCTGCTCCTCTGCTCCTGGGGTGATGCTCTGGCCTGTGCTGTCACTTGAATCTTTCATTGTCCCCTCGATGGTGATCACAGCTCTCTCTGCCCCTCTGTCCACAAACACACTTCTGGAAGAAGACTTCACTAAAGCTTGCCACCGCCCTGTTTCTCACACTATCCTAGGTGCTCCTGTCTTCCGGGTTCCTCCTCTGCTTCCTGTCCCCTCTGTCTCCTCTCACTTTATGTTATTTGTCATAGCTAAGCTTTATGCCTTCTGTCATACAAAAGTTTTTATTTTAATGCAGCCAAAAGTATAATTTTTTTCTATTTCGGTTTTTGCTTCTGTGCCTTAAGACGTCTCCCGCTCCAGAGTTATAAATGCATTGTCTACAACTTTCTTCTAATACTTTGTAATTTTGTTGTTGTTGTTGTTGTTGATTTTTAAACTTTATTGGGGAACAGTGTGTTTTTTCAGAGAACAATGTGTTTTTTTCTAGGACCCATCAGCTCCAAGTCAAGTTGTTGTCCTTCAATCTTAGTTGTGGAGGGTGCAGCTCAGCTCTAAGTCCAGTTGCCATTTTCAATCTAGTTGCAGGGGGCACAGCCCACCATCCCATGCGGATGGGAGCTGGCAACCATGTTGTTAAGAGCACATGCTCTAACCAACTGAACCATCTGGCCATCCACCTGCAGCTTAGCTCAAGTTGTTTTCTTCAATCTATTTAGTTGCAGAGGGCGCAGCTCACTGGCCCATGTGGGAATCGAACTGGCAACCCTGTTGCTCAGAGCACGCGCACTAACCAACTGAGCTACCTGGCCACCCCTATAATTTTAAGTTCAACTCTTTTAATGCACCTGAAATTTATTATATGATATTAATAATAGAGGACTTTGAAACCGTTGAGGATAGAATATTCTATAAATGATGTTTTAATAATTAATTATCTATGTATTCATTTAGGAGAAAATAATTTTACTTCACTTACATTTTCTCCAGTATAATGTTTTTGGCAATGCTTCATCATTAAGTATTATGTGGTTAAGTATAACCTACCCACTTTATTTGCTTAAGTTATTTAACCTCTCTAAGCCACAGTTTCTTCATATTTAAATACAATGACAATAATTTCTCATTTATAGAGTGGTTGTGAGAATTAAGTGACATGTTTCATATAAAGCACTTAGCCCAGTGCATAATCTATAGAAAACCTACAGTAATCCATTTTAACTCCCTCTCCAGAGAATCAGTACCTCAATCTCTGTATTCCCCCACAGTGTCTAAGATTGTATCTAGAGGCTATTTAGTAAATAGGTGTGGAATCATGAATTAATAAATACATGGAATTATAATATCCCAATGGGAGAAAGCCTGCGGAGTAACGCTAATACTTTCCAGTAGGCCCTGGTGTCTGGCCTCCTGATCTGACCTTCTGTCCCTGGCTGCAGGCATTGGGATCAGGTCAGGGATGAGATCCAACGGGAGTTTGATCAGGAATCTGAAAGCTTCACCCTGGAGCAGATTGTGGAGCTTGGAATGGATCAGCATGTGGAGAAAATTGGGGAGATCTCTGCCTCAGCAACCAAAGAGCTGGCTATAGAATTGGTATGACAAAATCCTCTCCCATACTCCCCTACTTTCTAAGCCTGGAGCAAAGGCTTCTAGCTTTTCATCATTTGATGGCCTATCCCAGCTTCTATTCCCCTTGGGGACTAAATACCTGATTTCTCTGTCCCCCAATTTCTTTCTACAGGCATTACAAAACATCGCCAAGACTTGGGATGTGATTCAGCTAGATATAATACCCTACAAAGACAAGGGCTATCACCGACTCAGGTAGAGAGGGCCTCTGGACTCTAGGAGAGGGGGGAGGCTGTGTGACCTGGGCTGCAGAGTAGGGACCAAGGACTGGCATATGGGCATGGAAAATGATTTTGATGGCTTCTTCCCCAGAGGTACAGAGGAAGTATTCCAGGCACTGGAAGATAACCAAGTGGCTCTATCTACCATGAAGGCATCTCGTTTTGTCAAGGCCTTCGAGAAGGATGTGGACCACTGGGAACGCTGCCTGTCCCTCATTTTGGAAGTTATTGAGATGGTGCTCACAGTGCAACGTCAGTGGATGTACCTAGAGGTGAGGATTCACTGCCTGAGCTCGTCTTATACCCTGTTTTTACTCTTTTATTTGCATAGGACCTAGATATTTGCCCTTTTATTAGCCTCATTTTCCCATCTGTAAAGCCATTCTTCATC